TTTACACACTTAACGATGTATCGTTGCATATTATTTAAATTTCGTGCAGACACCGTCGACGACAATGCTCGGAGAAGAAAGTAATATCCCTGATCTCGGACGGCCACTGGGGAGAAATTTAAACAACATAACCAATTGCTTAATTTTCCATCGATGCAACACGAGCATAACGATCTCTTCATACGTAATATCAGCGGCTACGATCCACCGTTTTTTCCCCCTTTTTTTCGGATACTAATATATCCTAGAGTTGAACGCGAACGCACATCTGCGCGTATTTGCGTGTGTCGTGGAACTTCATTGTGTACATAGCATATGATGATATTTCTTTTCAAGTGTCGTTACGAATTCATCAAAATTTTGTCCATTTTCTTTTTGTCTGCGCTTCGAACTCGCTTCAAGTTCGCTGACTCGCATGAAGAAGTTTGCTTAGCCGAAAATTGCGTATGCGTACGTTATGTTCATTAGAGAATACTGGCGTTACGTGTCAATTTTGTTTTCTGTAATTATCCAAAACTCTGTATGTTTAATATGACTTTGTGGAATTATAACGAGAGATGCAATGCAAGAATAAAATGCTCGTGTAAAATCATTAATCATGTAAAAATCAGTTGAAATGTAGAATTTGAAGAGTTTTCGTAGCAATATGGTAGATAATTCTGCATCATTATATTACACACAGGTACACAAGAAGGAATTATGTACACAAGATGACACATTCAAATACTAGCAATATTTGTAGTATACTTTGAGAAAGAAGAGAAGCAATGTATATCACGGTTCTTAAATATTGACAAGGTATTATAATGGTCACGTTCATCGCACCATAAAGTACATGACGATGAAGATGGCAAAATACGTAAACAGTGCATGACGTACTCAAAGTGAGCCAATGAGCCAAGCGGGCCGATCCTGGATATTATAGCGAGTCCTTTTGCTTCTTGGGTTCATTCCAACACCGGCGTCTCATTCTTGCACAAAATTATGTAAATTCTTAAGAGCGTTGCTCATTGTTTAATGCATTAAGTTTATGCACTTTCGTCGACAGTTGGTAACCAAAATGCCATGTTGGTACATGCTGATGCTAACATCATATACTTTGGATTAAACTGAATACATTGGACTGGTGCGGGGTGATCACCGTTTAGCACACAAACTTTGTATCCTGTCTCGGCATTCCATACATGCACTCTACCATCTGTAGATCCACTGAATACAAACTGCGAGTCGGGACTAAAACTGGCCTCGATTGCAATTCCCTTATTGTTTAGGTAACCAGCAAATGTCTGTAACGGTGTGCCATGAAATGCATCGATCAATCGAATTGTACTACCATTCGTGGAAATCAAAATAGTTTTGCCATCTCTGCTGAACTTTAATCCTGTCCAATCACACTCCTTTTCTTGTGACAATTTAAATGTGACAAATGGGCCCTTATCGAAGCTGCGTAAATCATACAACTTAATGAACTCTGAATTAACACCTGCAGCGAAAATCAGACCTTCTGGATCATAGGCGGCAACAGGGCGTCCTGAGACATTCATAACACCATGACAGTTAGGTGAACGTAAATCCCATAGTCTCAATGACTTGTCTAAAGAACCAGAAAGAAATGTATCTTCTATAGGGCTGATACACAGCGACACAACTTTCTTGCTATGTCCTGGGAAGTATCTTATATACTTGTTGTCGTGTAGACTGAGATAACGGATTGTATCATCAATTTTGGTACTGCTGTGTATTGCGGTGTTCTTCGCATGTGTGAAATGAATTAAATCTACACCGTACTTCTTAGAATTGACTGTACGCACCTGAGTGCCTTTCTCACAGTCATATATCACGATCTGGTCATCCTCTGAACAAGAGATCAAAGTGTCCCCGTTCGGTGAAAAGTCGATGCTGTTTATACGATCGGAATTTTCACGGAAAACCTTGGCCACCTTGAAGCTCCTCACCACGTGGTCAACGAGCTTCATGGTGATGGACGGCGCGATCTCCCTTTCGTGCCGTCCTCTTAACCTTCCTGCTTCCGCAATGTCTTGCTCTTTCCTTTGGTATGGCTTAGGCGCCGAGGCGCGAACCTCCCGAGGAGGGGTCAGGGGTTCGACTATGTACCACTGTTATTCACCTCGCGAGAAAGAAAAAACCCGCGGGGAGTTCAAGAGATCAGGGAATCCAAAACGTAGTTGAAACTGCTAATCAATTATCCTTCAGTTTCTAAACCCTCTTTTTCTCAGTATTAGATTCCTTTTTCAACCAATTCGCTTTACTTTAATCTGACAAAGGTACCCTACAATGCCTTCTAGCTTTCCTACGAACGGACGCCGACGGCAGACTATCGTCACACCGAACGCTCAAATTCTGCCAACTGTTTAGAGAAACGGATGACGAATTACCGTGAACATTCTCAAGATACTGTAGATTCGTACCGTGAGTAGAGCTATCGATCTGCGTTGACGTCGATGCAACGCCAACACAACAGAACGCTGTTTTATCAACGGAGCAGGGCAGAATTTAAAGTTGAAACTTCTCAAATAATATTTTGCGCGTTCAACCTACAAACTAAAGTACTAATTGTCGATATCACTGATATGGATAATGTTTATTTTAAATAATTGTCTCAGTAATGCGTGAAATATCTTTCAGATTATAAAATAATTTATATATCTTTTTACGATAATAATAAAATTTGAGAAACGATGAAAAATTCCATTGAATTTTTAGTTTAGTATATAGAATATAGTAATCGCTATGCTATCATAGGAATGATTGAATTAATTTATTATAACATTGAAAAGAGAACTTAATGTATATAAATATACTAAAATTTATAAACTCATAGTTATTTCTATCTTCTTTACTTGATCGTATGAACGATCTTTCGTTTGGAAGTTCTTCCCTATTTCCTCTGATTTTTTTCTTTGACAAAATCAAAAGCAAACTTCGATCAGCAAAAATTTTACTATAAGCTTGTGTTCGGTGCCAAATCGTAAGCCTATAGCCAGAAATATTATGTCATAGCAAATATTAAGCATGCTCTAATATTGGCACTCCTTCTGTATCATACAATTTTTGAATGTTCGTTAGAAAAAGCCCGTTGGTATGAATTCATAAATAAAAGAAAATACGTTTGCTGAAATACTACATGTCGCTAAAATAAAATATAAAAAAGCGATGATATAAGAGGTATAAATGAATACTTTACGATTTATTAAGGAACCATTCGATCCTTTTCTTTGCGGCATAAAATTTCGTACAATATCGGTACTTACAGAGTAATTTGACATTAATGAATATTAAATCTTCGTGTGCAACTTCACTATATAAATTATAAACATATAAAATTTGCGATATCACAAGATAACGTCTTTGCCCCCTTTATGCCTTGTCAGTTGCATAAAGAAGTAAAAGTTCTAGCATTGCAAAATCATAATTAGATAGCACAAACATTTGTCTATATTAGTATAAAATACAAGTTTAAAGTTTTGTTTGACTATCACTTTGACACTGTCAAAGGCATCGTTGTGGATTATTAGTGGAATAACATTAACTAGTTTTAAACTCATAAGGCTTATGGTTTTTAAGGTTTTTTTATGAACTTATATCACTTTTACATACATACTTATTATCTTACCAAGTAATAATTTTTGATTATATCAAACACATGCATAGTGGCAAATGCAGTTTCTTTTGTCAGTCAAGTTTTGTTAATTCTTATTGATTAAATTTTACCAACGAAGAAAAGGTGAATTTGTTGAAAGAAAACATATGGATACTCTGACATATTAATCTCTTTCAGACATTTTTATGTTTGATATATGAATCTACATTATTCCAAAGTATCTTAGATACTTTACTAATATCAGAGATTAAAAATAATATTCTGCCTTTTTTTACGTTTGTGTCTTTAGAGATTGTGAAACAAATAATTGTATTTTACATGTAATGTATGTTTTAATACACAAACTTTAAATGCAGTTTATGCTATGAAATCAAGCAAACCATCACAACATTCTTATTAAAACTGTTACAATTTCATTGTCCCGTCATTGAATTACATGTTAAAATTTTTTATAAAACTGAATGAAAAATTGTGCTTAACAATGAGATAATATAATTACATTAAAAGTGTTTGATTATAATCATATGAAAATAGGTTTGCCATTTTCATTTAGAATTAGATATAAATGTTCTTTGTGTATCAAATTCAATATATTTACAGCCATTATATTGTTTGTTTTATTTGAACTATGCAGTTTATACTTCTCTTTTATAAATTTAAGCTTAAAAACATACAGTTTTACATCTAAACATGTTGCTGAAAATTCAAAATAATTAATACCACTGTTTAAAATTGTGTTTTATGTAATAGCATTATTTCCCTCTTCTTGCCTGAATACTCATCGCTGTATATTTTCTAGAACAGAAATGAACTTTTGAAATAAATATAGCCTCAAAATATTAAAGCTTAAGATTATACTATAATAAATGTTTTTTTCGTTTTTATTTTATAAGGCTGTTGTTAATATTGACTGCCATTAGGTTTATGCAAGTATATACAGAAATAATTTAAATAAAATAATTTATAAATAAATAATGATCTTTACATGTTATTAAATATAATACGTAAATAAGTTCCTACTATTTCAATTCGCAAATTATTTGTGCAATAAATATTTCCACATAATTAGACTTATGGAATGTGAATAAGACATTTTATTTTAATCAAGATAATTTGTGACTCAGTACTAATTAAATTAATGAAATAGAGTTATGTAATTATTTTACGTCTATGCTACATTCATATATTATTTTTCATGGTTTAATCATTTTCTTTGTTCGTTGTGATGAATATTGAAAAGCTCTGCTTCAAATCAACATTTAGTAAAATATATGACTAAATGGTTTGAAGCATTTTGACTAAGTACTTATACAATTTTTTAGATTTTTGTTTTTTCTTCATTAATAGCATAATATACAGTTTTAGAATTATGCCATTGTTTGAAGTCTGTTTTTAAAAAATTACATTTGCAAAAAGTAATCAGAGTTCGCAATAATGGTAGTGACATTAATATATTGCATAGAAAATTAAATTAGCAAAAAATATACTTCTGTGTTTCACTTCGCTTTGTGTAATTGTTAGTTAACTATTAAATAGATCTATGTAAAGAGAAAGCTTCAGTTCTGGCACGCGTTACTATATGACAAATTTCTTTAAAGTTTATACTCCTTTCTTTATAACAATAACAATAACAACAACAATTACTGTACTTATAATAATTGCAATGTCTTATAATTATTGTTTTCTTTAAAAGACGTTACTAATGATTTGCTTGCAAGGAACATATATCATGGTAAAGCTCTGCATAAAGTATACTGAAAGTCACAAGGCATTTAAAGTGGTTGCCAATAAAAAAATATAATACGTATAAAAATTAAAGTCACCAGCATATAATTCGATACTATTATATATAAGTGATCAGCCACCTTCTTATTTATTTGTACATCAGTATACTTTACCCAAATCAAACCAATCACTTAGAAGACTGCTGCATAGAGCAATAGGCCCTTGATTGGTCCCTGAACCTATAACTTCACTTATATTTAGCACCTTATTTTTATGTTTGTTAGATCATTTGTCACGAGCTAAGACATTTAATTGTAGAAAGAAGCATCATACATTCCTTTATATTGAATAAAGGTATAACAAGGTTTATAATTAATGTAAATTCAACTATATATATATACATATATATAGTTAAAATTTTAAATTAATTCACCATCAATTAATACTGATTATTACTTTACAGACCCTTGTCACTGACCAAAATTTTATTACTTTTATTATAAATTCTCTATTGGATACTGTTTCACACATCTTAGCTCAAATAGTGACAATACAATCCAACTCTCTAAGCAAAATTAGAATTAAAGATCATATTGCCAATTTTAAACATTATAAATATTTGTGGCGTGTCGTGTTAAAAATATAAAGTATAGATTGTACAGTGAGTGAAATCTTTCTCGATTAAGAAAAGATAAGAAGTATTTGATTTTACAGTGTGCGTGTATTAAGTAGATAATAGTTAAATTGACAATATTCGCTTGACATAAAATATCATTATTACAAATTAATACTTTTTACTTTTAACTTTCGTAGTTCAATATTTTTTCAGAGGTTCAGGGAAATTGGTGACTGTGCTCGAGCAGTTACAGCAGACTAAACTAGTGTGGATTAGCACATTAATTTAAATTATAAATCCTTTCCGAAATTACACTCTTTAAATTGTGTGCAAACAAGTGTAAGCAAAAAATTTAAATTAATTCATATAAATATGTGTGTATAATTACATATACACATGCGTACACATACATATATGTCGATTTATATATGTACGTATTGATGCTTATGTTTTATATTCAGTTTCATTTCATAGCCATTGGACGTTGTATTTTATGAATCATCATAAATCATAAAAAGATTCTCTACAATCTGCACAATACTTTGACCTGAATTTTATAATACCTTCTTTTTTTTTCAAATCAGCATGTAAAACATTGAATTAAGTTTTATTGAAGTTTATGCTACTTGTATAATGATTGTGCGGTGCATAAACGTATAATTGCTTAGTCTGTCAGGCCAATTGTTAATTCATAGTTACACAAATATGATTTCGTACTCGTATCTTTCTTATAGAATATATACATATCTATGTTATTGCATATATGTATTATAAATGTGTAAACTTCAAAAGCATGTTCAAGTAATACTAAATGTCTTTAATCACGCTATCTATTTTGTAGGAAAGGCCTCGTATGTGTAAGAAAAAAAAATTACATCCGTCAGTTCAATCTTCTTTCCGACGTTTGCAATTCCTCTCTGTATCTTCCTACGAAATTATAAATCCATAGGAATTACCACCCTTTTGCTAAATTTGTTTTTTGTCCGTAAAAATGCATAAAACAATAAAGCACATTAATTCTCAAGACCGTTTCTGGGCCCATTTCAAATCATCCGCTCTTGGTTTGCAACCAGTAGACTTTTCAATTATGACTTCTAGTATGTACCAAAAACGAAGCTTTTCTAATGGCCAATTCAACCATCCAGTAGTAATACAGAAATAAGTTTCATGTGGTGCAACATGGTGCACACGATGATGCTTCCTAGGTAATATAATCCTGTGTTCCTGTAACCACACAACCCAGGTAGGTAGTCCAAAATACGTGTGAGACCATTTATGTATCTGAAAAAAATCTTTCATGTTGTTGCCACTATATACCTCTATTAACATTATATGCATAAAAGTAATAAAGAGCATGCGAATTATTTTATTGAAAATATAGGTAGATAAGCTGTACAGGATGACACACAAGAAACATGGTACCTCGATATACTCAATGGAATTGAAAATATTAAAAAATGCCGACCAATTCTTTGTGGTTTTGAAAGAATTTCCTTTCCTTTTGTTGTTTATCAATTTTTTGAATGATTATACCACATAAAACTACAGTTTTTAATATCTTTAAAACTTTGTGTCTTATGATATGATCTTCAAATGACTTTCAACTTGAAAATTTCTAATAATGTTACAACACTTATTAGAAATATTCTATTCCTCTATTTTTCGTGATACATCCTTCGTAAAATATGATTTATAAGGTTCTGATTTATTTACCTGATTAGTCATTGCTACAAAAATGGCAAGTAGAAACCAATAACACGTCCAAACAAATTTTTGCTGAATCTCTGGTTCCGGGAGTGTTAAAAAATCCCACGTCAATTTACAGAGGAATGGTATTGTAACCATAAAATTATCACCGTTAGTTTCTATAAAGTCATGCCTCGTTATACTTGTGGGATCAATATGATGCTCTCGAAAAGGTCTCAAAAAATTCTGTAAATAAATATATATATTTACACTTGACATCACATGAAACATTCTACGCGCGTATATTTAAAAGAAATATTCCCTAAATGTACCATAAAATAGGATAACTCAATGACAATCCAGAAAAATCATATTTAAGAAACCATTTAAATTCTAATTGAAAAATTCTAATAAACATTCATACAGTTATGGCCATATAATTTTCACTTAATCTTTTACAAGAAATGTTCCTTATTACTTTCTTCTAATATTCCATCACAATTATTTATACCTTTCCTAATATCGGAAGTTCCACAGAACCCCATGTATCGGCGGCCCAGTGGACCAATCCAGACCCGAAGTCCGCCGTAATGATGCCGCAAAACGCTGCCATCGCTATGGGGCTCAAATTTTCAAATCGTAACCTGACAAGGATAAATATTGAATTAACCACCATGAGCGTAATGCAGATACCGACGCAAATACACTCCTGCGTCCTTTTACCTAAAACAGATATAAACAAATATTAACACCGTTCTACAGAAAAATAAACAAAAATCAGTTTCTCGACACGCTTGTAGAACCATACAACCGCTCGCGCAAAATGAAAATTATAATAATGTCTTTATAAGTGCCGTGCAGTATAGACGCAAAGATACATATTGTTAGATCGCTCTTTATTTTTGCACACAAGCGAGGATTCCAAGGTGCGGCCGATGTATAGTCAATACCTTGGCAAGTATTAAAATCGGAAACATCCATGCAACACGAGTACGTATCGTATGAACGTTACACTACCGTTTTAAATTCGGTATAATCGCAACTATTAATTACTCGAAAAGTTATTCGCGTCAGAAATAATTTTTCTTAAAAACATTCAGAGCGTATGTACATTCACATAGGATATTATAGATAGAATACATAGAGTATTCACGCCCATTAATATATTATTATAGAAACTATGATACTATATATAATATATTATTATGATAGTAATATAGAATATTCCGTCCATTAATATATTATTATAGATACCATGACACTAGGATACTATATATAATATATTATTATTCACATCCATTAATCGAATAATAAATCAGTCGTGTTAATCGAGAAACGTTAACGACTGAAAATAATTACCGGTACTGTAAAGATTTGCTAGTTCCTGGGCGCCTTTGTGATTAGGACCCCATCTCGGCACGATTCTATCCTCTTGCGAGGTCGGTACCACTGAATTGGCATTGGGATCGTCCTCGAGCATCGAGTTCTCGTAGATCTGCCGTTCGGTTTTTACTGGCGCCAAGAAATTCGTTGCCATCGAGCACGCGGCCGAAGCCGCTTGGCCTAAGTTCGCCACCTTTATTTCGTCCATAACTTTTACGGTTATCAATCCAGAGCGAACGATCGGGAAACATCCGTTCTCTTTATTTTATATTCCGCTTTGTTTATTTGTTTGTTTGTTGTTTTTTTTACGAATCGACGTTGTCCTGTTGTACTAATGAAAACATCGTAAAACCCGTTTGCCCTCTATACGTGTTCGTCCAAAGTTTTCATGTTTTATCGGATAATCTGCTTGCGAGTCGTGAACGACGATCCTTTAAATTTCGCGTGTAGACACGGCCGTAACGTGTTGCACATTATTCGACGGATTCCTGTATCATCTATCGCTCGATCCATCTGCCTTCAGAACGATTTCACCCTCGCCGGTTATCGTGTCATTATCGGCCGGTATCGACGATTTCGTTTGTCGTTGTCGTGTCTTCTTTCGATTTCCCTCTTGAATACTTTGCGACTGACTTCTTGTGCAACAGAATTCCTGCTGGAAACAAAGCAAACGGAAATGTTTATTAATACAACGAGAAATATTTTCAACAGGTTATCGATAACGTCTGACGATAATAATTTTATCGTTTTAACACGTTCGCTAGTAGCATCGCATATTTGTGATTGCCGTAATATTATATTTTACAGAATGAAAATCAAATTAATCCTATAAATATTGTTGTTAGAAGTTATAAACAAACAAAAAAATGATCGGTCAGCATTTACAATGGGGTAAGTGGGGTAATATAATTAACCTTCTAATTAATTCTCGAGTCAACATTAATCCTATGGATATTGTTGTTAGAAATTATAAACTACGACATTATATTTCGGAACTCAATGACTCGTTTCAGTTTCATATTTCTTTGCATAATGACAATTAAAGTAATCCTATAAATATTCTTATTAGAAATTATAAACTACATTATATTTTGAAACTCAATGACTCGTTTCAGTTTCACTTTTCTAATATTTTGTTTAAAAGATTTATTAAATCGAAGAAAATATAATTGATGGGACCGTCACCGAAATAAGCGCTAGTACTGAACGTGTTAATGATAGAATAATTTTATTATTGACCGTGGTATAGAGCATTTTCACGTACATGGTATACGTGTGTTATCCTCCATTCTAAATGGCAACGGACAATAAAACGAACGAAAGTGACGAATTCAGATATCAAGATCTTCCTTGTCTGATAACATCTGTTCGAAATATTACAGTCAGTCTTTTGTCACGTCGCTACACGAGAGATAACAGTTTTCGTAACGATATCAGTAATATCGATAAACAAGTCGAAATGCTGGTAATAAACTATGCAATATATTCTGGCACCACGGACGAGCTGTTCGAACTGCGTCGTTTAATTCTTTTTTAATGATTTTCAAATATCCCTGTCTTCCTTACGGGCACTGCGTTACTGGGTAATTGATAGTAATAATATTGATTCTCGTAGTGGTCATAACGCGGTCTGTTATAAACACCGATCTGTTCCTTGCCCGGCCACACGAAACCGCTTCCTTATCTCCCTCAATTACGACGCTTCATTGTTTCACGATTGCTAGTTTCATTGAATTAATGATTTCTACTCGTGGATGTAGATAGACGTACCATTGCGTACACGGTGCGACCTTTTAATACAGAAAATTCATCTGCGATATAGATTCAATCTAACCAGTTAGGCAAGAACAAAATATTTCAAACTGGGTCCTTCCAAGTAGAACAAAGATAACAATACAAAAGTATTCAGACCGTTGGAAGACACAGCAGTATTATTCAAACTTACATGTGGACGCCGGTTTAATGAGTGACACCCAATTCTCTTTTCACACGAACGATTTCGATTTTTACACGATCACCAAAGTTGTTAACAAATATTCTCACAGATTAAATTCCTTATTCAATCTCTACCTTTTTATAGCCACGTATAAATTCACACATATCCATTGAATAAAAACAAAATTAACTGTAACTTCAATTTTAGTCTAACGTACAATTTTACATGTGGACGCCGGTTTAATAAGTGACACTCAATTCTCTTTTTACACGGTCACCAAAATTGTCAATAAATATTCTCACAGATTAAATTCCTTATTCAATCTATACTTTTCCATAGACACATCTCATTTCACATATATTCATTACATAAAAACAAAATTGACTGTAACTTCAATTTTAGTCTACCGTACAATTTTACATGTGGACGCCGGTTAAATAAGTGACACCCAATTCTCTTTTTACACGAATAATTTCGCACGATTTCAATTTTTACACGATCACCGAAATTGTCAATAAAAATATTCTCACAGATTAAATTCTTTGTTCAATCTCTACCTTCCAGCACGTTTCATGTCACATACATAAAAACAAAATTGTAACTTCAATTTTACACGAGCCTAACGTACAATTCCGACAGTCTGCTTAGACCACCCCTGCTCCTATTTTGACCACGCGTGCACACAGAAATCGTAATAATTCAAAGGCTCCTTCGTATCATGCACACACTGTCCTGCCTTCGTGAACATACACCAAATAACCCATTTTCATACGTTACACCTGTCCGGTGTCGGCGAGAGCTGACTCGGGTCCGAGACCGAACCGCCAATGCGGTATACAAAGAAGTATCAAATAAATCAATTGATTTCGCGAGGGCACGCGAAAATCAACAGAAATCTGATCCCGTCGTGATTATGAAACCCGTTTAATACGGGAGTTACGGTGACTCGTTGAGTTAGAGATCGCGGCAGCGGAGGCAGTCGAGCGTACGTTAACTGTAACGTTCACTGGTCACCGGGCCGACTTGAAAATCCTATGACATTAACCCTTTGCACTCGGAAGTTTCTCACTAGGAACATTTACCATTTCTTGACGAGGCGAGGACGATATTCCTTGAAACTCGGAGGAAAATCACAAGTACGTCGAAAAACAAAGCTATTTTATTCCAATAATTCACGTGTCGAGGCATCATACAAAATTCAAATTTCTCACTAGAAATATTTATCATTTTTTGACAAGAGAAAGACGATATTCCTTGAAATCTACTTGCGATTGTGTGACGTTGAGAAGCAAAACTATTTTACCCGAATATTTCACGTATCGAGGCATGCTACAAAATTCAAATATCTCACTAGAAACATTTACCATTTCTTGACAAGAGAAAGACGATATTCCTTGAAACTCGACGGGAAATCACAAGCGTTGAGAAACAAAGCTATTTCATCGCAACATTCCACGTATCGATTCATGAGAGAAAATTCAACATTAAATATCAGATTTCATAATTTTACCGCATCAAATGAAATGGTGACTGAGAGTCAGCTCCCGAGTGCAAAGAGTTAAGACGCGTTGGATTCGCGAGTTCTATACCGCGTGCGGATCACAAGACACGGTTCTCTATCAGCGTTGTTCGCACAGATACCTCCGCGCCTACACGAATATTTTAAAACCGGCGTGCATGGTTACGTACCGTGCACGTATAGGCCACGATACAACACGCGTGCAACACGTGCAGATTTCTAGCCGAATATGAGTGAAAAACCAGGGACCATGTGTGTGCATATAGACAAGGGGTGTCGGTCGGTAAAAATTCGAGGTCTGCGCGATTGAACGTATCAAATATCGTCGGTTGTATAAGTTCGAGAGCGTACCCATGAGACGGACGACAGGGACGAGTAGGACAGGCGGTGCTCAAGAAATTTCGAGGATATCTCTTGATCTGGTTGCTCCGGTGTTATCCTGGTCGACGCATTGTCCAGCCATAAAGTCGCTGAATGTGCACGCTCAATTAGTCACTGGTAGGATCGAAAGAGACCTACGCCGAGACACTATCGTACCTCGTACCGATGTGACACATACACACTCAAGGAAAGCACGCATGATGTTCACATGCATTCGTGTCGTTTCACGCACAAGTATTTTCTTCGTGGTTTTCCGCCTTCTCTTCTCTTCTCTTCTTCTTCTTCTTCTTCTCCTTCCTCTTTTAGCAACACTAGATTCACGCACGAACTCGAACAAATAACAGGTTTCCTATATTCTCTGATTAGAAGAGACAGAGTAATGTATTACAGTGTGTTAGGGAACGTCCAAAAAAGATGATAGAAAATCGTAGAAAAAAGGACGGGCGGCAGGAGTGGATTGGTGACAAGGATCGAGGCGAGCACGGTGTGTCACGGTTTGGCATTTAACTCCGGGAACTGTGGTTGTCTCTCGGCAACCGATAGGTAGAAAAATAACGAGGCGAGTAAAATCGGGGCGCTAGTCTCGCTTTGCCTCGCCTCGCCTCGCCTTTGCTCGCCTTGCTCGCACACGTCCGTCCGTTCGTGATTCTCCTCGGCTCTTTCTCTTTTCCTCAAGTTCACGTTGCGTGAATTCACGAACTCTTCCCCTCTCTCTATCTTTCGTGCGAACTTCTCCCGCAACCCCGCCTCGTTTCGTGACGAACGACCGGCGCCGCCTGACGACCATAGCTCGCGTCGCGCCGCGTCGCGACGCTCCCGTGGCGCCGTCACACGGCTACCCTTTCCGACGTAATCGTCGTTCTCCGGCTCGCACTGAAGATTTCCGTTCGATCGTGGTTAACGATCGTTCCTTTCGTGCGCCCGAGTTTTCATTTATTCGTTGCTCGGTCGTGCCCGCAAAAGGCTCTCACGCGACGCGATTTCACCCCACTCCGAAAACGCCCTATTAAGCTGATGCCCGCGTTAAGAACCAGCAATTGACATCAGCCGAGGATATTCGTGTATCGCGGTTACAAAATGGGAGGAGCGGCCACTCACCGTTTCGGCAGTTTCGGACAGAACAATCCAAACTGAACCGGATTTAATGAAGCGCCTTGAGACGGTGCTGTTTGTTCATTGACGTTTCTGGGATCACTGTTGGGCCTTTGTCGGGCCCACATTGATGGTAAAAAGATGGTAGTCCTCAGAGAGGTAAAGGCTGAGAGGAGGATTCGAGTTCTGTCGAGTTCGAGGTCTCGGAGGTTAACACTGAAATTTGAGCTTTCGACGAAATAGTAAATTACTAGGTTCTATTGGAAGATTAATAGTTTTAAATAAAAAGCGTGTTGGAGATTGAACTTCGAGCCGTAAAGTTTCAAAACATTTTAATTAATTTTAATCTAATTATCCTAATTGATTTATATTTAAAATCAATTTAATCCCAATTTAATTAATTTAATTTTTTTCAATTTAATTCCAATTTAATTAAGTTAATCTCTTTAAATTTAATTCAAATTTAATTCATTCAATGGATTCAAATCTAATTCCAATTAATTAAGTAATTAATTCAATTGATTTAAATCTAATTCCTATGTAATTCATTAAATTGATTTAAATCTAATCCCAATTTAACTAATTCGATGGATCTAAATCTAATTCCAGTGTAATTAATTCAATAAATTTAAATCTAATTCCCATATGATTAATTCGATTGATTTAAATCTAATCCCAATTGAATTAATTCAATCGATTTGAGTTTAATTTCACTTTAATTAATTTGACTGGTTTCGGTTTAATTTCAATGCAATTAGTTCAATTGAACATTTCGAATTTCCGTAGGCTTCGGTTTTACAACATAGATACAGCAACAGGCGGTTCGATTGTTCGAGCTCGAGGTTGAAAGCCCTGAGAACTTGAGCTCTTAAGACTTGAATCGCGGCTGTAACTACGGAGGCTCAGGACTCATTTTTGCAACACTAACCCAGTCGCACAACGCGGCGATGAGCGGCGTCACGTAACTATGGTAAAGGAATTACAGGAGGGGAAAGTGCTTTACTTCTAGGAATAACTTCAGTCTCGCTTTGGAGGCGCACTTCGTTCGATACTTCGTTTCCACTGCCATTCGATTGTCCCGTTTCAACGAGAAGCTAATAGTTGTTGAAGTTCACGTGACACGGCAAGTGGGTTGCAAGAAACGAAAATTGTTAGAAATAAAGAAAAGTATACAAATAACATTTAAACGTTATTAAAGTTATTTCAAAAAGAATATTCATCTGAATAGAAGATTTCTGTCGTACCATTAAAAAATTTCATTTACATCTCTCATAATGTTACAACTAATTGTAATGTCATTTACACGTAAAACACGCGCAGGCGAGTATGAGACCACGGATGATAAGTACGTCATCGATGAAACATGCAGCACGGTATGACCATTCCTGTCCACATCACATTTCACGTTCTTCAAGTATCTATATTTATTGTATGACACAAATCCAAGTACAAAGGATAAGTATGCGATCATCGACCAGTATCGTTCAACATTTAACCCTTTGCACTCCGAGCATTTTTAATACTTTAACACTTAGCCAACCGAATAGAGAGATCTCTCATTTTTCTCTTAACAAAGTGTTGCCTTTTATTTTGTTTATTTCTTCCTTGTTACTCAGTGAGCTTTCAACTGGGAATATTTGCAAGTTATTAAGTACTTCTCTTGCTTTTACGTACAATTTTTAATGAAATCTGTTGATTGAAGTAAATTAAAGTTAATGAAAAAGGATTTATCAATTTATCGAGAAAAATGTTCGTATTTAAAATGAATTTCAAATATAATTATACAGTAAGAAATTATTTGATGTGTTAAGTTACTGAGTTACTTACATTGCAGAGCAGACTTAAAAATTGAATCATAGACTCGATGCGATATATTGTGATATAAATATAATGGTTATCAAATGTTAAGAAAAGTAATTTACTTTATCGGCAAGTTACTCACTATAAGAAGAATTTGCAGACGTAATTCGTTATAGTTGGTCAAGTGTTAATAGTTCATTTCTATAGCGAAATATTCAAGAACTTAAAATTTCGTTTTGAAAAAATAAAATTACAAGTATACATGGATTCACAATTTTTAATTTGTTTTGTCAATTTACTATATTCGAGTAGAAAAAAGAAGAAAAATTTTACAATTTGAAATTGATACAAACTACACCTGACCCTCGGTTTACGCGAAAATCCGTTCCACGTGGGTTGGTTTCACGCGAACGGAAGTCGCGTGAATAGTCTGTCGGTACAAGAGAAAACGAGATATTGAAGAGAAAAGCTGGTGTAAGTTTTAGAAATACATAGCTTAACAAAAGACATAATAATAATGACATTTTAGAAAACAAAAGTATATTTCATTCGCTGTTACTAAAATCAGATCGCGTAAAAACTACCGCGTAAAAAAGATACTGGTGTGAAGAAAGTCCGCGTAAGTCGAGGGTCAGGTGTGATTTACAATTAGCGATGAAAATTATGTCTCTATGGCAGAGCCAATGGAGTGTAAAGGGTTAACAACATATTACAATTCAGAATGGTATTTACATACTTATAGTCATCGAGTTGTTCACTTTTCTGATACCGTAATGCTCTTAAGAGTGCTTATACGTGCTCAAAGAATAATTTGTGCAAGTAATATAGTTCACTGATAACCAACGTCTTATCGGATACTAGTTAAATCGTACAACGGGAAGGTAAAGAACCTGCCGGACTTAACCTTCGATGATGTACAGTGGTGTTGTAAAGTCTCGCATGACCTGAGAGTCCTTTAGAGTAGGCACATGTCTGACGGAACGTTCATACTTTATTCAAAGGTAAATCGACCGAATAGCTAGGCCCTAAGTTTTTCATAAGTTATATCACGATGATACGACGAACCACGTAACAGATAATAACGTTCACGATAACGCGATATCATGTTCAGAAGCATACATGCCGTGCTGGGAATTTTAAACATTAGATTATTTCTTTGATTAAGAGTCTAACCTCTTGAGGAACTCATAGGTTTCTTATCGATCAAGTTCGATCGCTGAAATCGTTTCTTTTCCTCGTATCGAGAGTATCGAATTCACGATGGAATTTTATATGAAAGAATCGATCGCTACTTACGTGGTATTAAAAAAAAAATGATCGGTCAGCATTTATAATGGGGTGATTTGGGTATTACTTAATCTTCCAATTAATTCTCGAGTCAATGAAATTAATCCTATAGATATTGTTGTTAAAAATTATAAACTACGACATATTTAGTAACTCAATCGTTTCTGTTTCATTTCTCTTTACATAATGAAAATGAAATTAATCCTATAATTGTTATTAGAAATCATAAACAAAAAAAGAAATGATCGATCGTAATCAGGATAATAATTAATCTTCCAATTAATTCCGGAGTCAACATTAGTCCTCAACTATTCCGCGACAAACCCTCTTCGTAATTTATCTGTTTGAGGTTATCTGTTCCTGTTTTAGCCTTGTCCGATCAGCCTAGTTGCCAAGTTACAATAATGCCAAAATAAACTGAGAAGTGCGAAACTTTTCGGTTGACATAAATACTTAACTATGATAAGCGCGATCGGTGTGTACGAGCGATGATTGACGATCACGTAAACAACTGTTTCCTACCGACGAAAATCATCGTGCCGACAGAGAAGAAATACTGGTGTTCACGTGTGCAATTTAATGGTAATTATCGAGAAGGACTATCCTGTCGCCGTGCAAGCCACGGATTCGAATACAATTTTTATAGTGAAGCATGCAAACGTGAAGACACGATCCAAGTGTAATCAGTACCTACGAACTGATCCGGAAGACAAAATGAAGATAGCATCGTTCGGCCGCTTACGTAGAAGCTAGACTATCTACTTTTATTTTGGTCAACCAACGTAGTCACTGCTATCGTCATCGAAAACGACAATCGCTATTTTGTACTTTCCGCCTTACATAATTCTTGCTTATAATAAAGTCCCTCGAACGAATTTAATAAACGGATGCAATGGCAATTAATATAGCTAACGAATCTGCTTGTATAGTTTAATGTACTTAACTAACACTCGCAATCTTATATAAGTTAATCTCTAATTTAAACGTCTGACCCTCGGCAACTAAGTTCCTCATTCTTTATAATTGCGTTAAATGATACCTTTAGAAATATCTTTTACTTTTTCGTTTTTTTTATAGATATACATATGTGTGTATGTAGATTTTTCATAACGATTTTCTATTTCATGTTCCCCGTGAAAAGATTTATCGCGTTATTTGAAATAGTCACCAGATGAATATGCAATGTCACATATACCAGGTCACGATGTGAAATATTTTCAGGGAACGAATGTGTACTATTCACGTCGTGTTACGAAGAATCACCGAGCGATACATAGTTGTTTTGAAACTTACAATTCAAAATGCAGTTACATCGTGATCAGTCTAGATTTCCTTTAGCTTCGGAAAACACTGAATCGGTTGTGCATGCGTCAGCGTAACTATGAGTGACATGATGCATAGATGCCCGCGGTATAATGCACAGTATACTTACAACGCGTGCTACAATGACAAACCGCAAGTTCGTGTTTTTCGTTGTGAATCGAGCACATGTCGGTCATCCGTGGACTTGCGTGCTGCAAAATTACAACGAAGAAGACGGTGTCAAAGCGTGGGAGAGTACACGAACACCTGCCGCTTTGATTGTTACAAATGTTTATTGATATGTGGACGAGGGTGACTGTAAGAAATGTCATGCTTATGTTAGGATCGCTGGAATTTGAATTTCAATGTGAATGAAAAATTCAAGCATGGAAAACTAAAAAATAAAAGTTTTAAATGTATTTGAAATATATGCTAGTAGTAATAATAATAATAATAATAATAATAATAATAATAATAATAATAATAATAATCTAGTAGCTAACAAAAGACCATCATGGCTACTATGATACATTAATTATATGGATTATTGTTACGTCAATGATACGTTAATTGTATAGATGTTATTATGAATGTATAATAAATATAATGAATATTTATTATTAATTATTAATAAATCATTACAAGTCATTGAAATGACGACCATTCGGTAAAAATCCACTTGTATGAGCATAACAAGATTTTATTCGGTCAGATGATTCAGATTTCCCCGAAAAAATTATTACAATGAATATAAATTATTTCGATTTTTTCTATGCTAGTAGAAATTCGTTAATTAGAGGTACATAGTTTACTTTTGTACGATTAAATCCACATAACAACTCTATTGAATCGTAAATATTTTAACGAATGTAAAAATGGAATCGTAGAGTGAATTCATGATTCTAAATTCGTAACATACTCATCGAACTATCGTATAAAAATAGTTTCATTCATTCGTCGTGCTATTATATCACAGACTTTTGCATGTTGGCCAAAGTATATATTTGGGAAACGTAAAGGATATTTATTTTAAATTGATTCTATATAATATATGACTAAAATCTGATACGATTACTGGGCATGTATAATTATTATACAGATGATTCTCAAAATAATTCCGAACAATCAAGAAACATAAAAGAATGTTTTAATAGATACCAATTTAAATAATTCTAATTTTACATAACTAAATTCTAATTTCTAACTTTTATGTAAGATGTGTAAATATATTTTACTTTTTGAGCATATAGTATAAGTACATTATTTACCGTATGTTATTAAATATATATACAAAATATGAAACAGTTAATATAAATGTTAAATATGTACTCAAGTATTTATTTAGTATATAATTATTTTTTGACTGTATGCACGCGTGTATAGCGTTCCCAGAAAAATAAAGAGGCAGTACTGTCTCCGGTTCGTCATTGTAAGTTAGAACTGTTGGGGTTAGTTTTGTGATACCTCAGAAATAGTCGCAAAGAATGTATTTTGAATGATATAAGTATTGATATATTCAGTTTTTAATAACTTGATTGAAATTATTAAATAAATTTTCTAAAAATGTTTAATATTAATTGATAAATAGATACTGGTACATGCAGTATATATTACTCACTAAGGTTAGCTATTCCGATTGTATTCTAAATTATTTTTCTAAATAAAAAGTTATTAGTGTAAGACGGATATTTGTTAATACAATGAAACTCTCTCTATTTAATGAGAAAGACAGCGTACTTTTAGTAGGAGAAGGCAATTTTTCATTTACTGTTGCTCTTTTCAAACTTAATTTAAACATTACAATTATTAGTACATGTTATGAAGCTGATATTACTCAAGAATTTGGAAAGAAAAACATAGAATACTTAATAAATAACGGTCAGTATTTAAAATTAGACTAAAATTTTGTGTTTGTATAACAATTTGATGTAATCAATTATATAAACAATTCTATGCTTTTCTTTTCAGAAGTTCGAGTTCTATTAGGAGTTGATGCTACAAATTTAAGAAAGTATCCAATGTTAAGAATGGCATTATTTGATAAAATTATCTTTAACTTTCCTCATGTAGGTGGTAAAATGCGAATAGAAAAAAATAGGGAGCTACTGAAACAATTCTTTATTAGTGCAGCAGAAGTATTGAAAAGTGATGGTCAAGTACTAGTTACTTTATGCAATGGTCAAGGTGGTACATCTATTGATAACCCACCAAGACGATGGGATGACTCATGGAAAATCACAGAAATGGGAGCATATGGAAATTTCATATTAAACTCAATTGAACCATTCATATGGTCATCCTTTGAAAACTATATAGTAACTGGCTATCGTAGTTTGGATAAACAATTTCATTCTGAAAAAGCTTTAACTCACATATTTGTTAAGTCTGAGCCTCCAAGTATACAAAATATTGCTCCTAAACAAAAAATAAATATTTCTCACCCAGATGAAAATTTTTCTTGGGAAGATATTTGTTGTATAATGAACATACCAAACATAAATACATTGTGTGCACATACATATGCATTTGATATAACTTTCAGTGTGCATAAAGATTTTAATTCAGTTGAATTTTATACACTATTATATAATTATGCAGGGGCCATTATTAGTGGTGTTAATTTCATAAGATTATATGATATGGGCAAAGTACAAAAAAGAACTTATAGAATAAGTTATAAATCTGTCCACTTTCCTTTATATAGAAAGAGAGTTATTGATATTCATCAAAATTTAATTTCAACTATTTTGGAAGATAATTTAAATGTTTTAGTTTCAAAATAGTACATGCTATTATATACATTTTCAAAACATAATTTAATGTAATTATATTTCAATAAAGTTACATTTATTTTATATGGAAAATATATTATATTCTTCCTTAATTTATGATACGATACAGCTGCTTAAAAGTTCAATTCTTTACAGATGAATTGTTTCCGTCAAATGAAAACATTAGTAAGCTATCAAAGATGTATGAATATAACTGAAATTGTATTTAAACCATTGTATACTTCCAATTGGTTTCAAAATCAAGAAGATATTCCTAAACCGTTACGCAGTATAAAACCAAAGTCAGAAAGGAATACAAAAAAAATGTTTCTCGATATGAAGCAAGTATGAAATTAATAACTTTAACATAATATTTACACATATAAATCTGTATACATATTTAGGTAAGAACTGTCGGAGGTAAAGGTGGCGATGGAACCATATCGTTTTCTCAGTTGTGGGCTAATGAAAAGGCTGGGCCTGATGGTGGTGACGGTGGACATGGCGGTCATGTAATATTTCAGGTATAAAGTTAATTTCTTGAAGTAAGGGATACATCTAGCTGAAACTAAAATTTTGCAGGCAACGCTACATATTAAAGATCTTTCACATATACATAGTGTTCTTATGGCTGAAAACGGAGAGAAAGGATATAGTAAAGACTGTTTTGGTAAAAATGCTAAGCATACTATAGTAAATGTTCCTGTCGGCACTATAATACGAAATGTAGACGGAAAAATAGTGGGCGACTTGATTAAGGAAGGATCAATGTTTATTGCTGCACGGGGTGGTGCTGGGGGCCATGGAAATACATATTTTAAATCTAATATGCATCAAACACCAGTCGTATGTGAATATGGTGCAGTTGGAGAAGATATACAATATGTATTAGAAATAAGAAGCATGGCGCATATTGGATTGGTGTGTTTAGATTGTATTGTTTAATATTTATACCTATTGAAAAATACATATTTTATAAATATGTTTCAGATTGGCCTTCCAAATGCTGGTAAAAGTACTTTATTAAGAGCTATATCTAGAGCTAGACCAAAAGTAGCAGCATATCCATTTACTACCTTGAGACCTCATTTAGGAATAGTATTATATGACGACTATGAACAAATTATAGGTTGATAATTATTATTTAACACTATTTCATTTATAAATGTTTCAAGAAAAAGTTATTGTGTTTCAAAATTAGAGAAACGAATTATCTTAAGATATATCTCTTGGGATTTTATTAAGAGCAATGTTTTTCTTAAGTGAGTTGACCTGCTTTTTTGATAATAACTTTTTCCTGTAACATTTTCTTATATCGTGATAAACAAAAGAATAAGAGTGGAAGAATTGGATGAACACCTTGTATACAGAAATAATATTATTTTTTTCACTTTCAAGTGGCTGATCTACCAGGACTTATATCTGAGTCTCATAAAAATAAAGGTCTTGGTATACAATTCCTTAAACACATTGAACGTTGTAAAACATTATTATTTATTTTGGATGCTTCATCCGATGAGCCTTGGGTAGATTTTGAAACTTTAAAGTATGAAATTACACAGTTCAATATAAAGTTAAATGAAAGATCACTACTTATTGCCGCGAATAAGCTGGATATACCAAAAGCAAAGGTGAGATATCGTAATCTTATAAGTTAAGAGACAAAGGATCTAATAATGGGTTTAATTTATATAATTACAGGAAAATTTAGAAATACTTACACAAAAAATTAATTTACCAATTATACCAATTTCTGCTAAAATGGGTACAAATATGTCTACTTTATTAAAGGAGATAAGAATTTTATATGACATACAGAAAGAAGAAAGTGAAGAGGAAAATATATTGAAAGACTAAAATTATTCTAATCAATTATATTATATATTTGTAATAAAGTTTGTTAATAGAAACAGTTATAAAAAAAACAATTATTCAAGATCATTAAATCTTAAAGTTTTACAGTTTTTTTACACAACTGAAAATTTTTTAATGTAGAAAGTATTTCTGGCTGATTTAAAATGGTAAAGAACCACCTATTTAAGTTTGGATACTGTTTCCTTGATATTGAATCAAAAATATATTCATATAGAGGTACTAAAGCGGTGAACATAGAAATGTCTGCAAGGGTAATTCTTTCTCCAACTAAGTAAGTTTTTGTAAGTAATATACTATTCAACTTTTTTAAAGAAGAAAGAAGATCTTCTTTAGATGTCTTGAAATTCGCTTTCATATTATTAGGTATATTTTCTAACAAACATGGAACGATCCACCCAGAAACTGCAGGCAAAATATGATTATCCGCATAACTTGACCACTGTAAAACTTGACTAAATGCATATGAATCCTTTGAACATTTCAATTGATCATTTGCTAAATAAAAAGCAATTGCGTTACTATCAAATAATTCAAACCCATTTCCTTCAAGCTTTATATCTGTAGGAATTTCACGATTACTTTTATTTTCTGATATAATTAATTCTTTTCCACTATACTTTGCTACTATCTGAGCACGATAATATTTCATACTTCCAACATCACAGTGAAGTATTAAATTATCCTTTGAAACTTTCGAACACACGGAATTTTCAATAGTTATAGACTTATTATCCTGATTATCTTTTCTAATTATATCTGAAATTCAAACCACGATTATTTTTAATTTAGAAATTATTTCCTTTTTTGTAATGTTCTTTTATTAGTGTATGTATTTTGCATAATATTTACCTGTAATTCCAAGCTTTAAATTAGCGAAATTTTTAGCTGTATGCACTAATTTATTCAAGCATGAAATATTGGTACCCGAAGCTTGAGCAGACTCCGGTTTTCCACCACCTTTTCCTCCCATAAGTGGAGCAATTTCTTGAATCCATTCATTTGCTTTCAAGCCCTTATTTACAGCAGACTAGTGTACGTCACAAAATGGAAAAATAATTATTTTTTAAGTTATTATTTATAATATAATATATTATATTAATATATTAAGTTATCATTAAATATTTCATCTCACCTTGGAAGCTGTACTAAGTGCAAATATCTTTTTAGCATCAGAATCCACACTAACAAGTAATGCACTTGTTTCCGGAGATATAGCTTTTATTTTTTTTAAGGCAGAATCTAAAGCTTTCGTGTTACTATACGCTTCACAGACTTCGACTAATACTGGGCATCCAACATTTTGTTGAATTATTCGTTGAATAGTTTCGACCACTGTATTAGCGATTGCTGCTTTTATAATGCGTTCTTGATCGTCAATTGTTTTCTTCAAGTTTTTCAACATTTTACGTATTTCGTCCTACGCAAAAACGATACGTCTGTTTCATATATTTACACATTATAAAATATTATATAATAACATTATAACATGTATACTTTTTTCCAACTTGAAATTGTAGCTCGTGAGACATCATCTGTTAATTCAACAATTTTTTTCACATGTTCTTTAGAATTAATGCCATTTTTATCGGCTGTTATAGTTTTTCGAAGCTGATCCAATTGATTCTGCAGTACTGTCGCTTTTTTCTGAGCTTTTGTTGCTTCAGGACCAGTAAGAGCTACAATACGCCTAATACCTTTAGCGATTGCTTCTTCACTAGCTATAACAAATTCTCCAATGTGCTGTGTACAATGCAAGTGGCTAAAAAATATTCAATTAAAGTTACAACTTACTTATAATCTAAATTATTTTGCACTAATAATCTAAAGTTTACTTACGTTCCTCCACAAAATTCTACACTGGTTTCCATTGCATACGAACCCAAGGGATAACTTTCCAAATCTTCAACTGGAATTCCTATGCTAACTACTCTGACAGGATCCGGATATGTTTCATCGAACATAGCGCGTAAACCCCGGATAGTTTTTGCTAATGCTAACTTACTTTCTTTAGCATAAACGTTTTTCTTTTCTTGTATGATATTATTAGTAATCTCTTCAACTTGTTTCACTTGCTCCGGAGTCATAGCACCTGAAAAAGAACTTTAAAAATTATATTTCATATTGCATTTTAAAATATTTCTTTTTTTACGAACCTTTATTTGTAAAATCAAAGCGGAGACGATCAGGTGCTACCAAAGAGCCTTTCTGATCAACTTCCGTACCCAATACTTTTCGAAGAGCAAAATTAAGTATATGAGTCGCCGTATGGTTGCTCATCACGAGTCTCCTGCGTGTAGTATCTATATTCAAGTAAACTGTATCACCTTTTCTTAATACTCCTTGACCTACAGAGCCCATATGCAAGACATAACCACCTCTGACTTGAACATTTTTTATCCGAATTTCTGTCTCCTAAAATAATGAACATTATTATTAATAATGCGTACACATATGTAAACAAATTATTTACTATTTACTTCATCATCCGTCTTCACTAAAAATCCTTCATCATATATTTGTCCACCTTGTTCAGAGTAAAAGTTAGTTTGATCTAACAAAATTCCAACTTCTTCTCCAGAAGACACTTCGTCGACAAAAATTTTAGCTCGTCTAAGAGCGAGTACCGTACTTGTACATGGAATAAAATCGTATTCCTCGTATAATTTATTATTGATAACAGAGTAATTATACTTTGGTAAATCCGCAGTAGGCTTGATCCCTTTGTTTTGTAATTCAGTAATTGCATGAACGTCTAAATTAAGTTGATCATCCACACCACCGGTTTTGCTTTGGGAGGCAAGCTAATATAGAAAATGGATAATTACCAGTTGTTCCATAGACAATATTTTCAAAATATTATTACAATGAATTTTATATAATACCTGAGCTTGTTTTTTTGCTTCTTCGTAGCCTACCATATCCACCTTCAGACCTTTTTCTTCTGTCATCAATTGTGTTAAATCAACAGGAAAACCGTATGTATCATATAAACGCCAAGCGACATCACCGGGAACAATAGTGGATGATTCTAGTTTTGTAATAGTACGATTCAATAAATTACGACCGCGCGATAAAGTTTTAAGAAATTGAGATTCTTCTTCATTAATGATATCAATGATATATTGTGGATCTTTAGTTACTTCAGGGAAAACATCACCAAGCAACTCTGCAACCACATTCACTAATGTTCCAAAAAATCTAGGTTTCGCGTTCAATTTTTCTGTCGCGTAACGTACAGCACGTCTTAAAATTCGTCTCAACACATACCTACATTATAGATTATTATTTTAATAATAAATATATTAAAAGTAGTATATATAAATAATTATGCGTTAATCACCCTCTGCCAGTATTATCGGGTACACCTCCGTCTGCGAGAGCAATTGTAAGAGTTCTTGCATGATCAGCTAAAACTCTGTATGCCATGTCTATTCCATCTTTATCATCCGCACCAACTTTTCCTTCATAATGTGGTGCTCCTGTACCCTTTTGAATGGCTTCAAAAAGTGGTAAAAATAAATCTGTATCATAATTAGCGCGTTTATTTTGAATAACCGACACTAATCTTTCTAGACCTAAACCACAATCAATATGTTTCTTTGGCAATGATCTTAAACTTCCATCAGACTCCCTGCAACAGAATAGAATCAAGTAAGTAAGATTTGTTACATTTTCTCTATCTTATAAATGACTTACCTATTGAATTGTATAAATACAAGATTCCAAATTTCCAAAACATCTGGATCATCCTGATTTACTAAATGAGCTGCTTCTCTGTTACCTATACGGTCGTAGTGCAGTTCGCTGCATGGTCCACAAGGCCCTGTCTCTCCCATCTCCCAAAAATTATCTTTCATACTTCCAGGCAAAACATGTGTAGGAGGTACTCTAAGGAAGCACAGAAGATTAGTTTTTTAATAATATAAATTAAATAAATCAATTAACACCCAGTTACCCTAGTGAAAGCCAGATATTTTTACATTCTTCATCTGGCTTTAAATTATTCTTCTCATCTCCACCAAAATAAGTTACATATAAATTATCAGGTGATAATTTTAATTTGATTGTTAAAAACTCCCAGGCCCAAGTACAAATTTCTTTCTAAAAAATATTACATCATATTTAAGAAATGTAATATTTTCTTGATAAAGTAAAAACATTGTCAGCTTGATGCTTACTTTAAAATAATCTCCAAAAGACCAATTGCCCATCATTTCAAAAAATGTATGATGATAAACATCTTTCCCAACATCATCTAAATCATTGTGCTTTCCCCCAGCTCTAATGCATTTTTGACTGTTAACAACTCTTACAAATTTTGCCATCTCACTGTTAGGATCTACTGTTCCCAGAAATATTGGTTTGAACTAAAATAGATTATAAAGAAATATGAAAGTAAATGATGCAATTTTATATTCATATGATGTATAACATTTTTTTTTAATGTACCTGGTTCATTCCAGCATTTGTAAACAATAATGTTGGGTCATCATGAGGTATTGTTGAACTGGAATGTACGTACTCATGACCTTTGCTTTGGAAAAAGTCAATATAAGCTTGTCGAATATCCTTGGCAGTCATAAATGTACCCATATTTTATATTATCTTCTTTTCTTTCTGAAAAAAATAACAAATTACTAATGTTTTCAAAGATAATCATAGCATATGGGAATAAATAATACTGTATGTACAAGTAACACAACACTTTTAGTGCAACTAATGTTGCATTAAAGCTATCTATAACAATTTTTTAAATACTGATAATATCGTATTATTATTATCGCAGTATTATTATAAATTTTTCAGAAATAATCACTTTTATGTCAAAACAGCTGGTTATGCAGCAGTACTGATAACGTCTTTCAAAAGAGAAAGGAAATAAAAGAATTCAGCGGTGATACGTGCATACCATTCGAACCGGCAACTGAAAATGAGATCGTTCCGTAACTACAGTACACAGACTATACCAACGGGAAACGTGGTCACGCAATAAATAACGAAACTATCGAACATAATCATGATCCTGTTTTAAACATTTTATGATTGGTTAATAATGTTCTTTATTTCATGTATAAGATTATAAAGGTTCAAAACTTGTTGTTTACCAGTAAAATTTTATTTATTCTGAATTACAAATGTTGTAAACTAATTACGTGTAAATAATAGAAGGTAAATGTTGTGATTCTAAGACTTTTTTTATTATTAAGTAGAAGAATTACATACTTACACTGAATACAACTATTGAAGATGCAAACTTTTTAAAACTTATACTAGGGTTTCAATATTTCAGTGCTACGCAAACGAAAATCAATTCAGATAACCAGGAAAGAAATAATTTACTCTGGTGCATAGATTTTATTGAAACACTGTCAAAATGCCGTTTATGATCGGTGCAGCACCTATACGAAGAACATTACCATACTTAAGAGCTGGCAGATTAATTTTATTAGATGCAATACAAATATTTTCAATCAATTATAACACACATGGAGAACATCATCAAGGAGCTAGGTAGACATAAGGTTATGTTTATAAAAATATGTTTATCCCTCAATCTAAAAGATTATAAATTTAAATGAAAAGGGTCGTACTAGTACAATTGTTTTTACAATATACTATCTTTCGTTGTCTTAAACATAATTATTTGAAATCATGATTTTAATATTGTTTTCTTTCATTCATTTTTAGAGAGTTTGTATTCTGGAATGTACCACAAATTCAGTATAAAAATCCAGAAGTGCAAGTGATCACATTTAAAAATTTAACACCAACGCCTTTTATAAAATGTTATTATGGTAGGTAATATTGTAGTATATAAGTATGTACATATTTGACCAATTAGTTTAACCAACTGTTCATTTTACACAGATGATGGAAAAACCATGTTAATAGATGTAGATGGAAAATCCAAGGAAGATATATTATATCATCTTATAAAAGTAGTTGGTAAAACAACTGAAAATTTGCAAAAAGAAGAACAAATTAGAAATTTAAGGGATAATCCTGCATATTTTGGTTATGGTTGTGAAAGAAGTTGTATATGCGTGATTCCAGGTCAAGTACCATGTCCTGGTACAGTACCTTTACCATTTCATATGCGTGGGAAACATCAATGTAACAAAAATAAAGAATCATAAAATAATTTTGTGCATTGTACTGTAAACATATTATAATTAATAAATATAACTATCGTTTATTATTTTATCAAGTAGTATATTATATACATTTAAATATTTAAACGTTTTCCGATCTGTTTACTTTAGAATAAAAAGATGCGTGTTCAAAGTATATATTCGTTTATTATAAAAAGATATTGTAGATTATGAAAATACATGTACATCAGTGTACATATTAAGCATTGCATTATCAGTGAATCAAGATACTTCTGTATCATACGCACGGTCACATTGCTGTAGGAATCATGTTCGATTAGTAGAAAAAGGTACAAAATGTGAACTTAAAAGTTTACAGTATACAAAAAACAAACTAGACGAGATTTAAATAGAAAATATAAATAACATATCAACTATAGTCATGGAACAAATGTTGATCAGTAAAAATAAGTTGTATTTTTAATTTTAATATTATGAGATAGAAAGGGACTTAAATTATCTTCTAGGTTTATAACGATTATACGGCTTATTGTTGTGATGGTGATTTCGATTATGATAACGAGTTGATGTGGACGGTTTTGGGTTTTCTGGTTTCTGATATAAATGTATTATAGGTGATCCATTTAAAGGTTTGTTTAATTCAAATTCCTCCTCCGATTCTTTCATGAGCTTTAGTTTGGCTTCTATAGCTTGGATTGCTGTTTCACGGCTGTAAAAAATTATATTCATATAAAAAATATTTATAGTATTTCCTTTTATGTTACTTTACCTTATCCTTTTATCTTCTTTCTTAGCTCCAGCTAAAGCAGGTATATCTATTTTTGGCTTTGGTTTATCTATGTCAGGCTTTAATAAAAAAAATCATTGTTATCATCTTTTGTTAAGAGAAGATCAACAGTTACAATGTTTAACAAATTACCTCTGTTACGCTATGAGCCCATCTGACAATAATATTTTTCGCTCCTACTTTCAAGTTATGTAAAGCATCTTTGGCTGTTTCTGCATCCTGAACTGTTTTGTAGGTAACAAATGCGTATCCTCTTGGTTGACCAGCTTGTGGGCCTGACCGATGGAATAGGAGGTCGAACTTTTCAATAGTTCCATGTTTTTGGACGAGTTTTAGGAGTTGGTACCGGTTGACAGATAAAGAGTTAGTTTTTTCAGATTTTTTCCATTGTATAAAGGAATATTTTATGAAAGTAAAATATTGCTCTACAACAGTCTAAAAAACAAGGACTACCCAGGTATTACACTGATCAATATAAAAATAGACTACTAAGGAAAGTTTTAACATGATTTAGATATACTTAGAAAAGAATATAATTATATAAATTGAGAAATAACAATTGGTCACGTGCCATTAAAGTCATACATTGTATCATCAACATTTCAAGTTTTATCATTCTGTAGAAACTTATAGAAGAATTAGCATAATACCTGAGACTTTTCCTTGAAGGTAAAGTCATAATTAAGACAAGTATTCTACATGTTATTATATGATTCTTTGTTAACTTATGATTTAAACTACTTTTTCTTTAAACAACTCTTCTCCCAATAATGACTCTCCTTTATGAGAAATAATCCAAATAAATACTTACTCATTAATTCTTAAATCTAAATTGCCCACCCACAACCTCCTATCTTCCACCTGATTTGACTTTATTGGTTCTAATGGCAGAGGAACTTTATTAACTGGCTGTAAATAAAGCAAAGATTATGTTAGTAAACTCGGAATGCTCATGTCTTTGATGTATGCGACGGACTTTAAGTACGGTCGTCTAACCTTCATATGATTGAAACGTGAAGAAGTGCTTACCTCCATATCGATAGTGTCTATAAATGGTATCAAATTAATACTGAGAAACCTTAGTTGCAGATATTGATCTTAAAATGTGTTCCCGTGGAAAATTAGGCATTAGTATTTGAGTATTTATAGGAAATCTTACAAATACAGCAGATCACTAACACAGTCAGCACCACGACAGTTTAGTAAATTGTTCATCCACACGGGTAATAATTGTAAACGGTATAAGAACTGTTTATAAAATAATTTCAGTACATTAGACAAACATTTTTTTTATGCTTCGTATCGAATGCTAAATATTAAAATGAATTCATTTATACTTTACGATATCAACAGAATTTATTATTGTCAAAAATTTAAGCTTGAGAGATTATTCTTTGTATAGTAAACTATAATTAGAATCAGTAATTATAAAGAAAACGTAAGACGTATATGAACACATTTTTAAATAGTTACGTTTCTCTGATCCACAAATCGAAAGACATGTTTCGTTCACGATTGTATTGAAAATAGTAGTCAGTAAACAGCTTTGTATCAGTCCTAAACATGGCGTCGTTTTTATCAGATTACGAATGATGACAGTATGAAGTAACCTGGATGTAACCGTAACATTGAATCACGGTAAAACGATTATATGTAGTTTCACGGCTTTGTCTCGAAGAAGGTGGATTTCGACTGGAAAGAGCAATGATGTCTGAACAATCTGTTAGTCAGACTCAGACGGAAACTGTTTTGGAGACGGATGTCACGGATTCCGTATCGCAGGTACGTCATTATTCTGATATGATAGTAAATAATCACTGTGAGCACACGTTTGTATGTTAATTACAAATTTAAACAATGAGATGCAAGAATTGAATTTTGTTTGTTTTATCTCATAAAATGTTATTACAAAACATTGTATTACATTAATTCATTAGTTTCGTGAAATTGAAAAGTAGTGCTTTTGTGAATATAAAAAAAAGTTATTGTTGAAAATAACAGTACTCATTCTTGATAAAAAATACTGTACAGCAATATGTTTGCTTCCTTATTTAAGTATACAATAAAAATAAGACCTGTGCTGAGTACATGTAATATAAAAAATCAAAGGGCTCTGTGTTCTAATGCTGAAGATTATAAGTCACCTTTAGCTGGTATTAGAGTTTTGGATTTAACAAGAATCGTGGCAGGTCCCTATTGCTCTATGATCCTTGGCGATCTGGGAGCTGAAATTTTGAAAATAGAAAAACCTGGTAGTGGAGATGAGGCACGAAAATGGGGTCCCCCATTTATAAAAGGAACACAAGAATCAGTTTATTTCCTTAGTGTTAATAGAAATAAAAAGAGTATATGTATCGATTTGAAAGGAGGAAAAGATATTATTTACGAATTAGCGAAAAAGTCAGATATTTTAATAGAAAATTATGTCCCTGGAAAATTAGGAAAATTTGGCTTGGGATATGAAGACATTTGTAAAATAGCACCACATCTTATATATTGTTCTTTGACTGGTTATGGGTATCAAGGTCCTTATGCAAATAGACCAGGATATGATGTAATCGCTGCTTCTGTAGGAGGTTTAATGCATATAACAGGTCCTAAGGATGGATCTCCATGTAAAGTTGGGGTAGCAGTAACTGATTTAGCTACAGGCTTATATGCTCACGGTGCAATAATGGCAGCATTGTATCAAAGAATGAAAACTAATAATGGACAATGGATCCAATGCAATTTATTGTCGACGCAAATTGCTAGTTTAATAAATATTGGTTCAAACTACTTGAATGCTAATAAAGAGGCAGTACGGTGGGGTTCTGAGCATGAAAGTATTGTACCTTATGAAGCTTTTCCTACAAAAGATGGATATATCACAGTTGGAGCGGGAAGTAATGCACAATTTTTAGAGTTACTTAAAAGAATGCAGTTGATAGAATTATTTGAGAATGATAAATTTAAAGATAACACTGCTCGAGTGAAAAACAGAGATGAATTATTAGAAATTCTTAGAAAACAATTTAAAGAAAAAAGTAATAAAGAATGGTCAGCTATATTTGATGGTGCTTCTTTTCCATATGGTCCAATAAATACAATAGCAGAGGTATAAAGTAATAAACATTTGTATTCAGAGTATCTTAGAAACATCTTTATATAAGACAATTTTATAGGTTTTTGAAGATCCGCATGTAAAGCATATAAAGATGATACAAGAAATGGAGCATTCCTCAGGAGCAAAAATTAAAGTTGTTGGGCCTCCAGTAGTCTATAGTTATGCCACGAATAAAATTAGGTTATCACCTCCTATGTTAGGGCAACATACCGACGAAATATTAAAAAATATTTTGAACTATTCAGATGACAAAATACAAAATTTAAAGAAAGCTAAGATTGTGCAGTAAAAAAAGATCACCCTTTAATAATTAAAAATTATGCTGCAAAGATATGAATTTTATTAAATTTTATCGAATTATAATTTTTATAAAATAATCTCATAATATTTATCATACATTGGGTACTATATACATTTTTGTATATAATGTGAAAAAAATAAATATATTACTATACATGCTTGTACAGTTTATTGAGTACATATCCCTAATCGATTAAAACGGTGAAAGATGATATTTTAATACTTTCTTTTCTTTAGGAGGTGCCAACTGTCCGTTTACGGCTCAGAAAACCAAAGTCTGATAAAAAAGTTCAGTGGACTCAGGGTACTGTGGATAATGAACATATGAATAAAAAGAAATCTAAATGTAAGATTTTATTTAGCATTAATTTTACTTATTAAATAAGTTCCTACTCTTAACTATTTATTTATTAATATAATATTTTAAGGTTGTTGCATTTATGAGAAACCAAGAAATTTTGGTGAAAGTAGCTCGGAAGACAGTGATGATGAATGTGAACATTGTAATGGTCCCAAAGATGCTCATAAGAGAGCGTTACCACACAATACAGAGACTTCTAAGGAAGCGATTACTCCTAATCCTGGTAATGTTACTTGATCAAAAAAATATGTTAAAATAAATTATACATAATTGAACTTATGAACAGAAAAAAAGGGTTGAGCATTCATTTACTGTTTTTCAGAAACAATAGTAAATGCATCCATATAAACTTACATTTATGACTTAAATAATTTTTTCGAATGAAGACAAATGCATTATCTGTGTATTTTAAGAAGAAGATGGAGCATAGGTATGCCATTCCTAATTTATACTACTCTATACTGAATCAAATTTATTACAGTACCTGTGTAAACTTAATTTTACAGGAAATTTAAATGAACATATTACAATTTATAATGCAATTGTATTATTAATATTGACACTACTGACGTTAAGATTCTTGAATCAGTGCTTCAAGTCCAGTTTTGAGCTTTTTTGATTCTAAATAAAAAGATACTGGTAGGACATATCATTATTAAATAAAAAGAGAAGAAAAATATGGAATTTTATTCTAAGATCAATTCTTGTTATATTATCTAATGTTTATATAGTACGTTAAATTGAAACGAATTTTACAATAATAACTAGTAATCTTCAAATTATTATAGCTGTATATATATGTATTTATACATGTATATATACGCATGTCCTTTTGGTATGAGTAGAAATATTCATAGTTCCTATAACATAATGCATGCATCCTGCTATTTCCTTACAGTTTTGAAAGTAATACTATAATACAAAACAAGTTGCGCCGTTATCAAAATTTGAAGCAGCTAATAACAGTTTTAAATGTACTAAAGAAAATGTTATACTTTATGTAAATTCTAAGAAATTTTCCATAAGTTTTGATTATCTATTATTTATCTCTTTCTCCCTCTCTTTCTCTCTCTAGTATAAATATATTTCTTCTCTGAAATATTAGGTTCATATGTATGTGTATATATTAAATATTTGTAACAAGAAATTGCTTATTTCATTACAATAATGTTTAACATCTTGTATTCTGTTACAAATTACCAATAAAGTATTTTTCTTTTAAATAACTTTATATTATGTATATAGATGTTAGAACACTTTCTTAATTTTTATCTACAAAATAG